GGAAGCTCGGCCGTGGCTCAACTGCCTTCCCTCCTCCTTGCTGAAGGCAGTAGATGCCCGGTGCCCAAGGTCCTGTCACTGGGGAGGCACACGCCAACACTGGGGTAGGCTAACTGTTTGAGACCCAGAACTTGGAGCTGACGGGAGTGGCTGCTCCACGCTCCAATTGGGAGAACCCATCGTGGGACTGCAGGAAGTCAGGAGCCGGCACCAAGCGGGGCTACGACAGGGCAGAAGAGGAAAGGGTACTTCTGAGGGAGAATCAGTGTCTCCTAAAGCCACCAGAAGCAAAAGTCTTCAAAAGGGGTGAGCTAAAATTCTCCAGATAGAGTAAAGGCAATCCCACCTGTGCCTTTAAAACATGGAGGAGGTTCTGCAAAGGTCTGGCCTTGCTGCCGTTCCGGAACCAAGTGATGGGAACAGCCCTGCAGAAGGATGTGGACCCTCCAAATGGCAAGGAAGCCAAGGACTGATCCTGAAGGTCCTGGGTAGCCCCCAAGGGGTGGCAGCCACTCCGGTGCCTTTCTCAAAGGGTGCCACAAGGAGACCCTTGGACTCCATGTACCAAGCCCCCGCTTTCAAGTAGAAACTGGGAGGTGAATAAGACTCACCCCCACCAAATGGGACCCAAGCAGGAGGGGCCGCAAGCTGGGGTCTCCACCACCCCCGTTTGATCCCAAGAGAAAGATGGACCCCTCGCAAAGAGCCACGGACCACCTGGGTAGAGCTCGGAGGACTAGCGATCAAACAGACCTGGGTCAGGGTGGGGGGACAGTGTGCCTTGCTCCCCTAGCTGCGGGTCAGCCGGGCTGTGTGCTCACAACAGACTGAGCCCAGGATCACTTCCACACACTCACAAGGCTGCTCCTGAGTCAGCCCTCAATTCCCCTCCCCAGCTGCTGCCCCGAAGTTGCAGCCCCTCCCCGCTTCTTCCGTCTTCCAAACACGCAGTGCTTGGGTTTACACCCGGAGCGCGTCCACACTGCTGGTTTGCAGTGGCAAACGTTAGAGCAGGACTGAGCCACGGCCAGATGCAGGACACCGGAGCGAGCCACGCGTGGAGCCGCCCGGATCCAGAAAAAACAGAGCGGCATTAATTTTTAGGGAGCTGCCACTGCTGTACATCTAAGCAGCTCATCAAGCGCTTTAATATGCGCACAACAGGAAGGCTGGTGGATGGGTGGGTGGGTGGGTGGGTGGGTGGATGGAGGAGGAGGAGGAGGCAGCTTCTCCCCACTCAACAAGGGCACATCGACCACACCAACCAAGGAGGGAGGGGGTGCTGCTGGTCTCCCAGGAAAAGGAGGCTCCTAGGAATATGCATGGAGTTCACATCTGGCAGATTTGGATGACAAGCGTTGGTGGGGGCCCTCTCCTGTGCTGGCTCTCAGTTAATAACAGTTAATACAGAAAAATATAAACTATATCTTGGTTGCATTATTGAAGCCCATGTTATGGTTTCATAAACAGTTGGCGAGTAAAATATGAATGGAGATTGAATTTTTGGTATAGTTAAACAGCAGTGCCCTTGGGGGGACCCGGTGGGGGGGGCGTCAGATAGGGGCGGCTTGCCAGCCTCTCTCCTCCTCTCACCACAGCGAAGTCCAGAGGACAAGCAAAGAAGGACCCGAGCGCCCTGCACCCTTCTCAGTGGTTACTATCAGGACCCGCCACCCCCAGCAGCCAAACGGGGGACAGAAACGGCTTCTCTACGTGGCTTGGGCAGGAGGCACCACGAGACTGACTCCTGTCCTTGCAGCTCCTACAAAGTGCCCCCCAAATGCCGTTAACTGGCAGCAGGAGGAGTAGAAAGGAGACGCGAGAGACGTGTCTTGAACAAGGCGAGAGGAGGCAGGAGAAGAGCCAGCTCCTCTGGGGCCAAGACTGGGAGGGGCGGGCCGTCGTAGCACCTCCTGGCTGTCTGCTAAGCGAAGAGCTGCCTTCGGGGATCCAAAGGGCCTGGAGGTCCTCTGCTCCAGCCCTTGGATCCAAGGGCAAGACCTGTCACGCACCCCCTTCGCCCCACAACGTCTCCTGCTTAACCTGCACAGTTTGGCTGGCCCAGGGAAAGCCTACGGGATGGAGAGAAGGGCACGTTTACAGGCGAGGAGCCATTCAGTCCCAAGGGCGCAAGCAAAGAAGATGAGAGGAAACCCGGCTGGTCTCCTGGCAAGACAAGGGATACCGTGGGTGAGGTACCACAGAACCCCTTTTCAAGTCACACTCAAAGAACATTTTCTTGGTTTTCTGGCCACCCACCCAAGATGTCTGCAGAGCTTGGGGTATTCCCCCCCAATGAGGGGGAGGAGGAAGAGGAGCAGGAGGAGCAGCCGCCGCCACCCTTCCTGTCCATGGGTTCCCCAGCAGGGCGGGTGGGCACCCCCCAGGGGGCTTGCAAGGCGAGCCCAGGCTGGCCAGCCAGCGGCCGCGAGGAATTCCAAGGGCTTCTCCCTGCCCCCCCCGGCTTCCTGAGAAACGGAGAGCCCGATCCCTCTCTTGCATCCAAAGCAACTCACGGCCCTCCCAAGGGATCCATCAGCTGTCAGGCTGCCAGAGAAACAGGGAAAATATGTAGGCCATAAAAATCAACTCAAAAGCAGGCTTCCAATTAGCATGCAAAAAGGGAGGAGGGGGCTCTGTGTGGAGAGCCAAAGCAGGGGGGCGGCAGAAGCTCTAAACTGGCTGCTCTCCCGGCCTGGGGCTGGGGGTCCCCAACTGGCCTTCCTGCCCCTTCCTCCGCCAATACCTGTGGGAGGAGCAGCAAGCGTGACTCAGGCCTGAGGGCGAAATTCCCCGTCTTCCCCGAGGAAACAGCCACGGCCAAACACCCCCAGAGAACTTCACCAAGCCGCCACCAGCTTCAGGGGGGCTTGCGGTGCCTCAGGAGTACCCGAACCAAGCCTCGCCCCCAAAGCAGGACCAGACCTGCCTGGTGCCAGGCTTGCGGACGCCAGGGTCCCTCCCTGGCCCCCCTTGGCAGCAAAGGACCGCCTGCCGCTCCTGTTGCTGGTGGCTTTGCAGGCCTTCCGCGGCGGCTCTGCCGGACCATCGAGTCCCCCCAGGGAGCCAGGAGTTTCTGTGGGGGGAACCCAGCCCAACGGGAGCCTGGGGGCCCCCTCCCGCCCTAGCCCTCGAGGACTCACCTTTGATGATGTGCCGGACAATCTTGATGGAACTGCCCCGCATGTTCAGAATCTGATGCACTCTCTGACGTATCTGGCAGGGGAAGAAAGGCGTGGGAAAAACCTGCTGCCCACTGGAAAGGGAAAGTCCACCTTTGGGGATTTTTTGCAAAGCAGCTCGGTAGAACCGCACCACCCCCACCCTGCAAAGCAGCCAGGGAGGCCCATGAAAGAAACGCGGCGCTCGGCCAGGAAGAGCCCTGCAGAGGGAGGGCCTGGAACTGGGGGTGATCCCCCAGGTCCAGAGAGTGCGCTGCGGGTCTCCTCTGCTAGGGAGCTACGCTTGGCAGGTCCTAGACGGCGGGCATTTTCTGCCGTGGCCCCCACTTTATGGAATGTCCTTCCCCCCGAAGCGAGGCAGGCCTCATCCCTTTTAACTTTCCGGAAGTCCCTCAAGACCTGGTTACGTCGTCAGGCCTGGAGACCTCAGGGGACTGGCAAAATATTGAGATGGCTCCCGTGTAATGAACACCTGCTCTTCGCCTGATATACATTTATTTTTTTATTTGTGCGCCTTTTATAATTTTAAAGTTCTTAATAATAATAATAATAATAATAATAATAATAATAATAATAATACTCGTTTGCATATATTGTTTTTTGCTGTGTTGCATGCAACCCGAAGTCACTTGTTTGTGACATGGGTGGCCATATAAATACGACCAGCAAATAAATAAGTAAATAAACAGCAACAACTGGAGTCCTTTGAGGGGCGTCCTGTCGCGGCACCAGAGGACCTCCAGGCAGGGGGCGGCGCAGAGGAAGCTGCAGGACCTGCCCTTCTGCAGCGATGGCGTGGAAGCCAAGGCGCCGCACGGGAAGCTTCGGGGCCGGAGCAGGGCGGGAGCGCGGTGGCAGGCGCCCGGACTCACCTGAGGGATGCTGGCGTTGCAGATCTCAGCCATGATGTAGCAGATGAGCTGCAGCACAAAGAGACCCGCGTCCAGGCGGCGGAGGTAGAACTCCTCCTCCGTGTCGTCGTCGATGATCTCTCCGCGGCGCACCATGTCCTGAGGGGGGCAGGCAGAGGTCACGCTTGAGGAACGGAGTCGCCGCTTGCTTCGCCCGCCAGGCCCTACAACTCCCCTTAGGGGCGGTCCAGAGGTGCAAGCAGCAGACCTCTGAGAAAGCACCAGCACCAGCTCTGCCTCGCCAGCACGTGCCCTCTCCCTAGCCATGACACAGCCCACGGCAACCTTAGGAGGGTTCCTGAGCCTCGAGGCCAACGGCCAGGGCTGAAGGAACGGGGAAGATCACCAACTGATCTGGCGGAGGGGAAGGCATCCTTTCACAGTGACAGCGACTGAACTCGGTTTCACATGTTGGTCGTCTGATCACGCGGGAGGCCCAACGTATGGACTCTCGCAGTCTTCGCCCAAAGCCCCCCACTTCCTCTCCCTGGGACTGTGCCAGAGCAGTCTCCAAAGATGCTCGTGGAACAAAAGGGACCAATCCATCTCTTTCCGTAGCTGCATGTGTCCTGCAGAGGTGATCCCAGGACATTTCCAAGGTGGAGCCTGGGAGAAGCCCAGAGGAACCAGGCTCAGGGGGCAGACAAAGATCTGAAGGAGCAAATGGGGGGGGGGGGGGTGTCACAGCTGGGCGCAGAGGTGGTGCCAGAGAGCTGGTTTCGGTCCAGGGAGAATGTTATGAAACCAGCTCTGTGCTCAAATCCAGGCTGCTCCCTTGCAAAATGTGCTCCGAGATCCCTCCTCTGGCTGCAACCCCCTCCAGGACTCGGCCCCCCACCAGCAGGAACTCATGCCGCAGCTGACCTTTTGCTAGCCTCACACTGGAATTTTGTTTTGCCAGCCCAAGATCTCCTGGCCGTCTGCCTGATTTATGATATGGTGGCCCGGCAGGTGGGCACACTCCACTGGAGCAATTTTTCATCCTTACAGCGAGAGCACGGCGTACCTGCAACACTCAACAAGGAGGGCCTCCTCCTGCGGGTGTGCACTGCAGTCAAGCCCACGCCAAGCCACGTTGCAATGCCACTGCCGAGGGAGAGAACCCACGCTTGGCTCTGCGGCTGCGCTGCCCTGGCTAGGCGATGTGAGCGGGACAGCAGGCTGAGCGGGAGCCCCCTGACCTTGGGCACCCGCCTAGGAAGAGCCACAGCAGGCGGGAAGGGGCCGGCCAGGCTCCTGAGATGTTCCAAAGGGTCACTGCCCCAAGTCCAAGGGCAGTTTCCCTGCCGTGCCCTGCAGCCCGCCTGAGCTGGACCCCAGCCTTCCGTTCTGGCCCTGCAGAGGAAGGGCGACCCTCTGCTCTTCTGCTCCCGCGCAGCACAGCCCCCAGGAGAGCCACGCTGCCTCGCCTCCAAGGCCGGCTTTTGCCTCCCACCCTTATTTTTCGGTCTCCCAATTCCACCTGGGCTTGGCTGTTCAGAAGCCGGCCTTTTCACAAGCCACATTGCCACCTCCGGGACTCCCAGCTCCGAGACTTGTTCTGTGAGCAGGATTAACAGCCACGTGGCCTATATCCTGCAAGCGACCGCTGGCCTGGCTGGCAACCGCAGACACCTCAGGGGCAACACCCCACTCAGCACGGCATGAATCCCTCTGGCGTTTGCAAGACGCGAGGATGCTCTCCGGCTGCACTGTCTTTCTGCCCCTCTGGGCGGCAGGGTCGGGCTTCTGGAACCATCTGCCCCGCTGGCCGAGGCGGACGCCCCAAACTCCCTGCGCTTCAGGACACCAAACCGATCTGGGCGGACGGAGGTGTCTGCCTGGGCAGCAACTTCCCCACGTCACCCAGGAGACTCCGCCAGGGAATTAGGAAGGAGTCTCTCGCTGGACGTGCCGAGCCCAGTGCCGCTACGAGTCCGGCTAATCACCAGCACCCCTCCCGACCCCCCGTGTTAATCGCTTTCCAGCACAAATACCAAGGCCCCCCTCCTCTAAGCTGTCAGGATACAACATCCTGAGGAGTGCTCAGATGCCATCCTCATCTGCCGTGAGATGCCCGGCGCTGATGGGATGAGACAGCCCGAGATGGGCTCCTGCGATGCTCACGCTGCCTCTCCTCCTGCTAACAAGGCCGGGCTGGCAGCAAGAAGGATGAGGAGAGCAGAGGACCACTCTCAAGCCAGGCTGCAGCCTCCCCCGAGCAGGAGCCCAGCTCCCCCAGGGCGCCGGAGCCTCCCCTGAGGACAGCAGGGTGGCTGGGGACTCCAGCCTCAGCCTCACTTCCTTGGGGACTGGGCAGAGGGAGCAGCTGCCCTTCCCTCTGCCTTGGGAAAGGCTCCTCTGCTCCTCCCAAGACAGGCTGGAACCATGGGGAGGCCAGAGACCCTCTGCAGTGGGCACCTTCCATGCCAGGGGAGTAGTCGCTCTATGCAAGCTGTTTGTGAGCATCTGGACGTGCCAGGGGATGAGCCACAAGATCCCCAGGCCGGAACGGCCAAGGGGTCACGCAGCTCCAGTGGGATTATGGCAAACCAAGTGCCCCCGAGGGGGCTGCTTTGCCTGTTGGGGCACTTGCACAGATGCCAACATGCAGGCAAGCCCACCCACCCTTTTCAGCACTTGGCCGGCTGTCCACTTCTGCCGAGAATCCAGGCGCCAGAGCTGCTCAGCAGTTGGAGCGCACATCCGCCTGCCAGTCCTGTTCCTCAGGCCCTGCACGACTGCCGCTGACCTGCCCTCTCTGGCTCTTGACGCAGCCATTCGCAGCCGCCCACAAGGCCACGCTCATCCAGATCCCCTGGGAAGCAATCCACGCCTATGGTCCCCCTGCCCTTCCAGGATCCCATTTCTCCCTTCTGAGGTTGTGGCACAATTAGCATCTCATTTATAAGCCATTATGGTGCAAAATGCCCAGAGAGAACATTTTATCGAATCAACCTGCTGAGCATAATTTCCACACAGAAGTCAGGATAATGTATTAAGCCATCGCCTGCATTTGCCTCCCTGCTGCCACCGCTGCCCTGTGCCACCGCACCTCCAGAGCGAAGGGGGCTTGCCACCTCCTCCTCAAGAAAGGAGGGCAGCAGGCAGGAAGCAAAGGAGGCCTGTAATCCACAAGCCTGGCGGGTCTCAGCCTCGTCCGTGGCCCTCCCGTGGCTACCTTTCCCCATCCGTTCCTCTCGTCCCACAGGAAGCACTTCACGGATCATCCCCCGGACTGAACCACTGAATCCACACTTGTCCTGGGCAGGAGAGCTCCCGGCAGGCAGACATGCTGTTCGTGGCAGGAGCCTCTGCGATCAGGAGCTCGGCCAGCGTCTGAAGAAGGGCCCGCAGAGTGGGAAAGCTGCCTCGCAATTCCTTTGCGGGGCCCGCAGGACCATCCACTGTCCCCCGCCCCACAGCAGGCAGCCAAGGTGCTCTGTCGGGAGGCCCCTCCAAGAACTGGGCTCGGCCCAGGGGCACCTCTTGGAAGAACGAGAGTCCTTTCGGGGGCACCTGGCGGAACTTGGAAGGAAAGATTGGGGCACCTGCCCCCGCAAGGAATCCAAAGAGCCGCCTAGTTCGGCCTCCTGTTCCCGGCCACAGTCGGCCAGGCGCCCAGAAGGAACCCGCAGGCCAGAGGAAGGGCAATGGGGGCTTCCTATGTGCGACCCGCGGGGCCGGAGCAGGAGGGGGACACTTACATGCTTTTCACCTTCAATCTTCTTATCGGCTGCCTGCAAGGCATCCAGGTACTTGAAATACAACTCCATCAGCCTGTCCACCTGGAAGAGAAGACGGGGTGTGTCTGCGCGTCTCTCCCAGGGTTAAGGCAAAGGCTCTCAGCCCAAAGGGACAGAGTTGCTCCGTCGGCCACGGGAGCCGGGGGGAGCCTCAAAGACGCTGCTTCCCTGCTGATCCCCTCCTCCAGCCTTCGCAGCTCCTCCTTCCTCAGCATTTGGTCTGCTCCCGCTGCTCTTGGCCTCCCCGAGCCAGCGGTGCCTGGGGAACCCTTTCCAAGCCAGCAGGGCTCCTGCCCCCGAGATGCAGGGCCCGCAGGGCTGGCACAGGAGGCGCCCGGTCGGAAGCTTCCAGAACCTAAAGGCCAGATGTCCCTGTTTCTTATCCCCAGTGATAGAGTGCCCCTGAACATGGCAGTTCCATTTAGCTATCAATAGTCTGCAGCTATTGACAACCTTTCCTCCACCTCCTCCATAAATTTCAGGGGAAAAATATCAATTCTAATTAAAGTAGTTCAAATTTTAAAAGCACTTTAGGCACATTAATTGCTGTTCCTCGCAGAACAAAACCAGGAGGAGCACCTTGGGACATGTTTGGCAAACACTCCACGAAGCCCTTGCGCCCTTGCAGTTTGGGCTCTCCTGCTTCCCGCTACCGTTGCCATTGATTTTCAGAACTGACACCCATTTTGATCCAAAATTATTTTCAGAGACCTTGTGAGCATTAATCGATTAATTCTTTCATCACAGACTGAAAGGCTGCCTTTGGAAAGGGAGAATGTGCAAGAAAATCGGGACTGAGGGCCGGCAACGCACAGCAACCGCAGGAGCCACAGGAGGCTTCTGGCCACTCCCGGGCCAGCACGGCCACGAAGCAAAGTGGTCACCCGGCCTGGCAGTGTTTGGGGCAGAGGCGACAAATTTACCCCATGGGTGCGAGTCCCCGTGACAGGAGTGAGGAGAGAAAGGACCTCCGGGCAGAACAGCACCGGGGTGAATCACATTTTAACTTGGCCCAGGGGAATACACCTTTGCACGAAACATGAGTGGCTCCTGTCCGAAGCAGCCCCTCTGGCCACCCGTCACCCACCTTCTCGCTGTCGTTCTCCGTGAATTTGTTGAGCAGCCGCGTCCGCTGCTGCCCCCGCAGGTTCCTCAGGAGGGAGGCCAAGATGGAGCAGACGTGCTCTGGGCACAGAGAGGGAAAGACAGACTTCAGCTGGGGACGGTGCTCCCCTTCACCCCACCCGCCCCTTTCTCAGCACCCTCCTGGCTCCTGTCCAGCAGCCCCTAAAGGCTGCTTTAGTCCCACAAAGAACCCCAATGCCCCTCTCCCCACGGTGGAACACCATTTAGCCACCGCGAGGAAGGGTGGATCCTGCCCCTGGCCACAGCCCAGTTTGCAAGTGGCCTTGCCTGTCCCAGAGCTGCACTGCAATGGGGGGGCGCATGTGTGTCTGGAGCAGCTCTTGCTCCCAGGTGAAGCTCTCCGTGGCACAGAAGCTCCGGAGGAAGAGGAGGGAGGGCCGTCTGGCTACAGCCCCCCAGAAAAGCCTTTGCTCGGCAGCCGCCTCCCAGGCCCAGCACCAGACAAAGAAGCCCACCTACCCTGAATCCGTTCTCCTCCCCCTCCATCCTCAGAGAGACCCCCTTCGGATCCACCGGGGCGGGGAAGAAGGGGGCCGGAAATGCCAGGGGGATGGAGGATCTCTGCCTGCCACCTAATTGTCTCTCCTGCCTCTCAGAATAAACATGCTCGCCTTGGCTTTCCCAACAGATTTATTTATTGTATTTCTGGTGATTCACAATGAAGGGTTTAGGGCTGAAAAATGCAGCCGAATATAAAAGCTTAGAAACTGAAATAAAACCCCGAAATAAGCACCAGCGAAGCCTCCGGCACTGCCGAGATTTAAGTGGCGAAGAGAGAAAGGCTTTCCAGGCTGAGGTGGCTGGGGGGCCAAGGGGTCCCTCTGGCCAAGGGGGCTTTCAGCGCCAAGAAAACCCCGGCGGGCAGGCCTTCCTGTCCAGCTTCCCCCGGCCGCAAGATGGATGAATCCTCCAGTGTGTCTCTGCTGCCTTGCCGGAGGGCAGAGGGGTCAGGATTTGTTCTATTTGAGAGAGGAAAAGGCGGGCCGCAGAGGAAAAGGGTGGTCTCCTCGTTGCTGTCAAGACGATTAACGGGCACTTTCCCAGCACTGCCTGCTCAGGGGCCACGAGGAGATGCAATCCATCGCCCACAGAACAAGCCACGTGCCCCCGCCTGCAGCGGCTTTCAGCAAGAGGCACCTGACCCCCCAAGGGACGGGCCGCTCCCCCCTCGCTGCGGGGATCCTGCACGATGCATTAAGGCCTGTCAGTGCCACTGGAAGCAGGTCCTGCTGCGCTGAGGGCTTTGTGAACTGCTAATCAACGCTGCTCGCTCAGAACAGATTGCAGCCTGCGACGGCGCCCACTTCTTATGCCCTCCGGAGGTGGAGCTGGGCAGGGAGAGGAGAGGAGAGGCGATAAACCCGTTCTCTGGAGGTCAGCCCCAGAGACCTGATCATCCTGGAAGAGCACGACGTGCAGCAAGATCGCTTGGGGGACGCCACAGACCTGGGCTTGGCGCACCTGCACGCAGCGTCCCTCCGCACCCTCCGCTTTAAGGAGAAGGAGTCACATGCGTGCGTGGGAGGGAGGGGAGGAGGAGTGAAAGGCGCCCAGCAGGCTGTTTGCGAATAATCAGAATCCCGGGAGTTCTCTCGGGTTCCCCCTTAGGATGAATTGCCTATCGCTCCGGGTGGAGGGCCCTGAAACTCCCCTCTGCCCTCCGCCCCACCCTGCCCAGTACAGCCCAACCGCAAAAGGCATTCTGCTCGGTGACGGATGGGACGAAAAACAGCCGCTGGGAGCGTCAAAAAGATGCTGTAGCTCTTGGCTCAGCCTGGCCTGGTCGATGCCTGGCCCGCAGGTGAGTCTTCAGAGCCCAAAGGGGGACACGGACCTGACCCAGAACCCCCCACCCCAAAGCCAGCCCCAAGCCCAGGGCCAGGGCTCAGAAGCTGGGAAGCACGTGGCCTTGCGAACAGCGCCTGAGCACAGGCCTTGGTTCCCTCTGCCAGGGGGCGGGGGTGACAGGCTCGGGCCACCCTTCAGGCATTGCCCACATGTGCAGGGCGCGGTGGAGGAGCGCAGCGCCAGGTGGACCTTGCCAACCGCCCAAGAAAGGGAGCTCTGAGCGGCTGTGGAGAAGCAGGTCCCAAAGAGGAGCCTTGGGGAAGTGGGCCCTGCCCTCCGGCCCTGGGGGAAGCTGCAGCCTGCCCCCGTCTTCTGCTCAAGCAAAGGGGAGCCCTCCATCGACTGGCAGCCCCTTAGGCAGCTCCCTAGAAGAGCAGTAAAAGGCCAAGGCACAGAGAAATGGAAACCTGGATGCGCGTGAAAGGACAGGTCTGGGTCACGGTGTCCAGTACCTCTCTGGGCCCCCTCCTCTGGCTGGCAGTGGATCTCTGGGGCCAGGGAAGGGCTAGCTGGGGACTTTCCAGCTAGCTCTGGGCCAGGTCCGAGTCTCCTTCCACATTTGCAACAGGCTTTGCTGGTCTGGCTCTGCTCCGAGGACAGATGCTTAAGACCCCAGGAGGGAGGCCAGAGTAGCTGCGCCCCGGCCTTCTGAACCACCGGGACGGCCCCTGGCCCCTGCCCCCCACTCAGGGATTCTGCTCCACCGGGTTTCCTGCAGCAGACAGGCAGGAAAGATGCAGGATGCAGGCAGGGCTTAAAAAACCCTAATTAGATTGGTCTCGACTGGCTTGAAACTCAACATTAAAAAAACTAAGATCATGGCATCTGGACCCATCAATTCCTGGCAAATAGAAGGGGTAGAAATAGTCCTTCCAATGAGCAATCAGGGTTGATTTCCTTTAAGATTGACTGGTTTGACCTCCTAGCAGTCCAGGGGACTCTTAAGAGTCTTCTCCAGCACCAAGTTCAAAGTCCAAGATCACCGCAGACGGAGACTGCAGCCATGAAATTAAAAGACGCTTGCTCCTTGGGAGGAAAGCTATGGCAAACCTAGATAGCATATTAAAAAGCAGAGATGTCACCTTGCCGACAAAGATCCGCATAGTCAAAGCTATGGTTTTTCCAGTAGTAATGTATGGCTGTGAGAGCTGGACCATAAAGAAGGCTGAGCGCCGAAGAATTGATGCCTTTGAACTGTGGTGCTGGAGAAGACTCTTAAGAGTCCCCTGGACTGCTAGGAGGTCAAACCAGTCAATCTTAAAGGAAATCAACCCTGATTGCTCATTGGAAGGACTGATAATGAAGCTCAAGCTCAGATACTTTGGTCACCTAATGCGAAGAGAGATCTCTTTGGAGAAGACCCTGATGCTGGGAAAGATTGAAGGCAAAAGGAGAAGAGGACGGCAGAGGATGAGATGGTTAGATAGCATCCCTGAAGCAATGAGCATGAAACTGAGCAAACTCAGGGAGGCAGTGAAGGACAGGAAGGCCTGGCGCAATATGGTTCATGGGGTCACGAAGAGTCGGACACGACTTAACGACTAAACAACAAAGCGGAATACAGATCCCCACATTCATGGCAGGAACTCCGTTCAGGTCAGTCTGTGCCCGAGTGCCTCTCGGCCTTTGCGGCGATCCTTCTCCCCCTTCTAATGGACTTGGGCCCAGCAGGGAGGAAGGGAAGGACTGACAGGCGGGTGGGCGGAGGGGACGGGAGGCAGCCGTGGAATGCTGGTGGGGGTTCAAGAAACACCCCCTGCCAAAAGCCCAACCCACCCATCTCCCAAGAACGGCAGTGTGGGCTTCTGGAGGGAAGAGAGCAAGACAAGAAAAGCGAGAAGCCAAGGAGGGCAAGGAAGAGTTTCCTGCTAATGAGCTCCGAAGGAGCCGGGCTGCGTGCCCTCCATGCCAAACTGTGCCCTGCTGCCTCACTTGTCCTTTCACTCTGTCAGAACGGAACGAGATGTTTACAGTTGACTCCAGAGATCTCCTTCGTTCTGCCTGCCAGATCGAAATGGGCTCTCTTGGACAGAATGCTTTTCGCGTCAGCAATCTTCTTGCCAGGAATGAAAACCCCAACCGCGCTTCAGTCTTGCTGCCGGTTCCCTCTGGGCCCGGTCCTCCCCTCTCCCCAGCTGGAGCAGCAGACCCGTGCCCTGGCTCCGGAGAGGGAGGAGGAGGACAGCCATGATGGGCACCAGAGTTGGCAACAGCCACTCAGGTAGGCTGTGTCAAGAGGGCCCAGCTACTGCCTTGCTGGTTTGAAGACTAGCGTCAACGTGTCCCAACTCAGAGCTCTCTATGGGCCCCAATGGGGTCACAGAACATCCAGCTGCAGCCGCGGACTCATCCCACAACGGATGTGTGGAGAGCTGAGATACCTCCACTGGTTTAAGAAAGGAAGACCTTGTGGGTGGTGCAAGAACACTTCATATATCAGAGCTACTCTGCTCATAGAGCAGTGTTTCTCAACCTTGGCAGCTTGAAGATGGGTGGACTTCAACTCCCAGAATTCCCCAGCCAGCAAAGTTGAAGTCCACCCATCTTCAAGCTGCCAAGGTTGAGAAACACTGCTCTGGAGAAATCTTGAATCATAGCCACAGCCTAAAATGGGCAGCTGGGGTGATCTGCGAGAATATGCAAGACGTGTGAAGGCAGCTTTCTGCTTCTTAAGGAACCAAGTGTCTGGGCGCACCAAAGCCCCCCCCCCTCCGCCCCCAAGACTAAAAGCATTGCAAGCAAGTCTCGGTGTGCTGAAGGCCTCTCCATAAGGTACGACAGAATGGAAGAGATTGAACACCTCTGCACTGCCAATTAACTTAGCGCAGCAGGAAAGATGAGCACTTCCTGCAGGAAGAAAAAGGGAAATCCCAAACTCCACAGGGCTCTGCTAAAGAGGCTGGGAGCCACTCTGGGGCTCAGCTGGACTGACAACCCAGTGTTTGCCTACGTGCAATTCGCCAGAGGCCCGCAACAGAAAACGCTGGTCTTTAATATTACGCTGAGATAAAAACGGAGAGGAAATGGCAGGATTTTAGCATTCTCCTAGGAGACAGTGGAAGATCTGTGATTGCAGGAGGCCGAAAAGATGGGCAACCCTGCAGCCCTCCAAAACTTCTTGCTTATTTCCAAAGCCCCAAAATGGATGCCTCCCGCAGACCGCTCCTGACGGCTAAATCCATTAAATAAACAACAAAGGCCACCTGAAAGGAATTCCATCTCCGTCTGCAATTCTGCTCAGAACTGCTGATGCTTCAGCCAAGGCTTCCCTTTGGATCTTCGCTCCTCCGTGATACAAATACATATTGCAAGATATTACACGCGTCTGATTAATTGAATAAACCCGCTTGGTCTTTCTTCCTTGTCTCTGCAAATTCCTCTCCGGTGTAAAATGCTGACCAAATGGCAAAGCTTGTGGAAATATTTCACTCTGCACCAGAAAAAGCCTTTGAAAATTGGGCAGGGGCTGCTCTGCCTTGAAACTGGGGCCCTGAGAAGGTGGCCTTCAGCCTCCTTTGGAATTCTGCATTTCCACAGCCCACCAGGAAATCCAACCTTTTGGCGACTCCTCAGGCACAAACCTGGTTCCCACATATGCAGAGGCAAAGAGGGGAGTCCAGAAGACAAAATCGAAAGGTTCAGGTAGACTTGTCCTGCCGAGTGGGTTTTACCCCTCTTACATTCTGGAAATCAACCTGAATGGCCGAGACTCTTCCTGCCACGCTGCTCTGGGGGCCAAACCTGCAAATGCAACCCTGTTCCAGAACTACCTGATCGTTCACCATTGTGGAATGTCATCAACCACCCACATTCGCTTTTTGGGGGGGGGATCAGAGAAGTGCTTTTCCCCATTTTTCAGCATTCGTCTCATACCCGCCAGAGCTCCACCACCGAAGCAAGGTCACCGGTTGCCTTCTTTCTGAGCATTTCCAAACCTTCCTCTTTCTATTACCCACGCTGGAGACGTTAAGCAATTAACAATTTCATTTTCTTCAAGCTCCTTGACACCTTGATTCATTACGTTTGTAGGGCTGGGAGCGAGACGCATTTTTGAATGTCGAAGTGTCGGGGATTTGCACACTGAAGACAAGGGTGTCAGTTTAACTTGTGACAAGGGCTGGTTCCAGAAGCCTTCCATCTCTGCCAGCCAGGCTCTGAAGCCAGCAGGGACGGGAGGATTCTCAAAAGCAGGAGCCAGCTCTGGACGGGCAGTGGCCCCTCTCCAGTCGTGGCACGGACACACGGCCAAAGGAAGGGGCGGAAGGAGGAAACGTAGCACACAAAACGCACTCTCCTCCATCTCCCTCCCTCTTAAGATGGCCCGGCTTTGCTGTGCATGGCAACCGCCAAGGCCACCAACGATCCAGGGGCGGCATGGCGGGCGTGCAGGTGTGGAGCAAGGAAGAGGAGAAGGCAAGAGCGAGCAGAAGGACAGCGGGGCGAAGACGCTGCACGAGAGCAGAGTGGAGGCGAAAAGGGAGAGAAGGCTCAGGGAGAGCGGGGGGGGGGATGGGGAAGGGGCAGAAGAGCCAAGTGGGATCAGCAGCATCGCCCTTCCTCTGACCGGGGCCGCCTGTGGCCATGAGGCCAGCCCGACCAACCCGGCAGAGCCAGCCCAGGCCCAGAGGCGAGCGGGACGGAGCCCGCCCGGCAGAGCCAGGCCAGGGCAGACCCCCCCAGCACCAGCCAAAAGGCCACAGCCCACCGCAGCCAGCAGCACAAGCGCCTGCTGCCCGACCTGTGGGAGAAACCCACTGTGCCAGGACAGGAGAGGCCTGCCAGGGCAGGAAGGGAGGGCAAGCAAAGGGGGGGGGGGGGCTGGAAGGGTACAGCTCCCCCACCTCTAAGGGAACAAAGAAAGGGGAAGGGGGTGCAACTCACGCTCCTACTTTACATGCATTGGAGGCAGAGACCTCTTCTAGTCAGTCAGATTTGGGCAGCCCAAAATCAGGAGAAATCTGGCAGCATCTTTTCCAACCAACAAATGTTATTACTATATTTATTTATAACATTTATAGATGTTATAAATAATGTTATTATAAATGTTCTGTCATGTGCTGTTTTTTGTGTTTTTTGCATTATTTTTTGTTTTTCAACGTTTTTAACAATTGTAAACCACCCAGAGTCGCTGGGAGTTGGGCGGCATATAAATTTAATAAATTATCAGCAGCAGCATCAGGCATAGGCTTTCATGAGCTGCAGCTCACTTCCTCAGATGCATGAAGCATTACTGATAATGCAGAAGTAATTCTTAAGTAGATTTGCTAAGTACAGTTAACAGGCATATGTTTATAGGAATAGGCTGCAGGATTACAGATAAAAATTACTGATACAGGTTTAAGAGGAGAAATAAATGCAGATTTATAGAAGCAAGCATGCAAATCTGTTTTATAAAGAAACATTAACAGGGAATCTAAGTAATAAAACTACCTGTTTCTGGGGTGGAAAGCTTACTGGCTGTGTGTGCTGCGCCACTCCCAAAGAACCCCCACCAGTAGGTCATTCCCCTTCCCGATCTATGTATTGCTGTGAAATACTGTGCACGGCACTCCTTCAGCTCCCGGGGGGCTCCCGGGGGCTCTGTTCCTGCGGGGATCTCAATCCGTAATCAAAAGTATTACAATAAGCTGTTAATCCCAAAACCAACAACGTCGCTGCCAGGTAGAGCTAAACTTCTGGTCAACGTCAATTTCCCTGGCTGACCCAACGTGATCTGCAGAAATTTCCCGCACAGGCTTCCCTGGAAAGAGGGTGGCGGTGGCTCATGGAGTCATGAGCACGAAAGGCGGTTCCACAAGACACGAGGCCACCTCTGGCCTCTTCCTGCCTTCCCACCAAGTCCACCTGTGTCCTCCCTTGCTTCCCCTTTTCTGAACCGCACGCCTGAATGGAGGCATCCCTCTGAAGTAGCACCAGTGGCTGGAGCCAGAGGGACTCCCCAAAGTTCACTCCGCTAAGCATTCACACGACCTGATATTACTTTGTCTGCTCTGACTGCTGCCTTCTCGTTCTCCTTCCCTGTTTCCAGCTTCACGCTAGCACTACATTTCATGGGCTGACTTGTTGACAGGGGCTGCAGAGCAGAGCAGAGCAGAGCAGAGCAGAGCAGAGCAGGCCCTCCCGTGGGTCACATCACCAAAAAATTGCCCTGGGTGCAATGGCACAGGACGTGGAATCAAGGAGAACAGCCCCGAAACGGCGCCAACGAGTGCCAGGCCCGCAGAGGCAGGAGGCCTTTTGCAACTGTCACAATAGACCAACAGAAGGAGGGACACAGTTTCCGCTCTGCGTAAACAGGCGTCCACTGAAAGGCACATGTACCAAGTGCACGGCTTGTTTAAACAGCTGGTAGCGTTTACGAGACAAGATCAGAGTCAACTTAATAGCTTTGAGCCCCCCGCCTGGCAAATATTTATCAACTGAGCAACTGCATGTACCTACTTGGCTCGAAGGAGCCTTTTTCCCAATCAGGGAAGTGGTTCTGAACATCAAGCAGCTCGCTTGACAACGAAGGGCACAACAGGTGGGGGATCTGGATGGCAGAGCTACTGTTCTACCCTTGTGCCTCAGTAGACTCTGCATCCCAGATTACTCGCTTTTGCAGCAGGTCTGGTCCCAGGAAAGCTTCTGGGACTGTGCTTTACCGTTTTGCAAAAAACGGCATCTCTGCGGAGCCACCCCAGGAGCCCAAGATCCGTCTCTTGGCCAGTCACAGACAGTTTGGGTCCCGCCTGCACACAGGTGAAGGGGGGGTTGCGCCCCCCTTTACCATTTTACCAAAATGCTCTACCATTTTCTCTGCTGTGCTCAAGGCTCTACTGCGAGAAAGTGAGGCTGGCCAGCTCATTGGGCACATGAACCTCAACTCACGTATCTATCCTTACAATTCCCTACGCATCACACCCAATTCGGTCTTTCCAACTTGTATATCCTGCGCTGGGGAGAAAGCACTCCCGCATAGAAACACGTATGTGCAGGCGACTCTGCCCACTGCCAGCCTGCCTGCCATCGTGGGTGCCTCTTCCAGGCTATGCGTAAGGTCACACTGCCAGTGCGGCACCACTTCCCGACAGCTCTACTTCGGCTGATGGGCGTTTCCCTTCTGCTAAGCAGCTGATGTCTGGTTGGGGCACCTGTTGGGCCAGGACCTGTCAGCTGATCAGTGGCCTTTTAGCCAGCACCCTTGGCGGACCCTGTCCTGGTGTCTGGAGGGGAGGAGAAGGCTGCTCCCATCACTCGCTCTGGACCCTCTCCCAGATGTTCCAGCCCTTCCTCGCAGGGAGATGCTTGAGATTCCCAATCGTTGGCAT